GAAGCCTGCTTCCCCCTCTCCCACTCCCCCTGCTTGTGTTCCCTCTCTCGCTTTGTCTCCCTCTGTCAAATAAATAAATAAAATCTTTTAAATAAATAAATAAACAAACAAACTTCGTGTAACAAATGGAAGTGCCTGTAGTTCATCATGTTCCCTAAACCCCTCCCAGAAAGAAAATGCCCTGGGGCGCCTGGGTGGCTCAGTCGTTGAGTGTCTGCCTTCGGCTCCGGTCATGATCCCAGGGTCCTGGGATCAAGCCCCGCATCGGGCTCCCTGCTCCGCGGGGGGCCTGCTTCTTCCTCTCACACTCCCCTTGCTTGTGTTCCCTCTCTCCCTGCCTCTCTCTCTGTCAAATAAGTAAATAAAATCTTTAAAAAAAAAAAAAAAAGAAAAAAATGCCCCTGATGCGGAAACTCCAGGGATTTACCAGCCAGCAAATAAGGGCAAACTGTATGTCAAACTTACAGTCAATCAGAATCTAATATCTTGTGTTTTAAATATTACAAATACATAATTAATATAGTTTTTTGGAGACTCTTCCATAAACCACTAGATCCCAGTTTTGCACAGTGAAGCATGAATTTTTTAAAATATATCCTAGAGGATTGCAAAGGTTCTCAATCCTTAAAATACCTAAATACCTAAATATATTCCCCAAATGTCAATTTTGGTGCTATGATTTGGCCAAAAGCATACTGTCCTATAAAATACTATCAGCACAGATGAAAGATAACCCAAGTAAGTTCAATTTATTTGATAATGACATGTTATTTGTGATTGTATGCACTGAAATTTTCTCTTTATGTTCACACTCTACTAAAGGGAGAAGTCTTTATAGGTTAAAGTCAATGTTCTTAGAATGTCCAAGGGATTAAACAATAGAATGTTCACATGACATGACATATTCTCTCTCTCTGTCACGTACATATTCACACATCATCGTTTATAAACTGAAATGCAAAAACCTATTGATTCCTTAAAAAAGCAGTTATGCTAGAGAACCAATGCTTCCTTGAATAATGTTCAAAATCCTTTTGAAATTCCTCCCCCCCTCCTTTGTAATTGCCTACAGAGTCTACTTATGGGCAAATAAGTAAGTAGAATCTGGTGAATTTTTTTTTTAACACATGAGATTTTTTAAACAATGATTGTCATTTGTCCAGTTCATTTATAAAACATGACTCCTGACTATTTCCAAATATCAAATCAGTCTTCAAAGAATGAAGATTTTATACCATCATGATACTCAGGACAATTAACACAGGTTCTTCCACAGAAGAAATGCAAAAATATTCGGGTAACACAGTCACTGTCACATCTTATTTGTTTAGACATTTAATCATTCAGCATTTACTAAGTGCCCATTGTGCCAGATACTGAAGAATATTTTATGTGGCTAACCCTCATTCAGATGCAGAAGTTCTGGTGTGCTTGTTAAAAAAGAAAAGGAAAAATCACTTTACTTTATAATCACACCTCATTTATGGCCTGCTAGAATTAGTTAGCCAAATGGCTGCTGATAAGCTCGAACGGTTTTAATACTGGGTTACTGGGGTCAAAGGTTAAGTCCCCATGTTGGAGAATTAAATCAGCTCTGTTCTGAAGCCAGACCACATGCTTAGCTCCAGGCAGCCACTCTGTTAATGTCTGCAAGTGACCACAAACTGGGCAAGAGGGCAGGAACAGATACACAAAATCCACCATCCACATAAAATAACTACTTGAAGCACTAGATTTAATAGCCAAGTACACTAGAATTCTTTCCTCTGTAGCATCTCTTTCTCTTTCATATATAGAAAAATTGCAGGTAATATGAGTTACAATCGTACACACCTCAAAATGATGATCAATCAACTCAAAATATTCTTGAAGGGGCATAGATCCAGAAAAAGAACAGGCAAAATCTTTGATTCCCTGTTTTTCAAAATATTCTTGAAGGCGAATAATAAGTTCATTTGTTATGAGCCAAAGATCTTCGAACTGTTCACTCTGAATGCGATACCGTTCTAAGAGAGAAAAAATAATTAAGGAAAAACGCTTATTAACACATAATTACTAGCTGAAACTACGTGAATTATCACTAACTCTCTGACATAAATACCCAAACAAAAAAGACGTTTTTTCTTTTTTTGGAATACAAATATGATTTCTACTGCTTTATTGCAGTTTTCTACATCAACCACTTAACATTTTCAAATTTAATTCCAAAGGTTTGCCGTCACAGTAGCAGCCTGTAGAGTATGGTCCTTTTCCCTATGTTTCTTATCATAGGTTTCAATATAATAAAAACACCCAAATTTTAGTCCCAGGAAGGAAGGAAGGAAGGAAGGAAGAAAGAAAGAAAGAAAGAAAAAGAAAAGGGGGGAAGCAAGCAAGCTAGCTTTGTTTACAAGGTAAGAAAAAAGCCATTGCAAAAGTATAATCTGGTATTCATTAATCTGTTTCAGAATTTTGATATGAAATAAAATTTATTCTGTAGAAAGTCCCCCACATCCTAGACATTGTTGCCAGCTTAAATCCCTATAATCATGATCAAAGTTTTCTATTTTTCTAATAGTTCTTTTATTTGTATTTGTAATCAGACTCTTCCCTAAATATAAATCTTGTTTCCCTCCATTAGCTGAAACCTCAGCTCCAAGAAAGCCCAATTCCTATCCATCCCCTACCCTGATTTAATGACAACAATGATGACAGCGGTAACAGTAACTACATTTATGATAAGAGCAACTGTTATTTTTTGAGCACCAACTATGAAACAAGCACTGTGATTGCAACAACCTCTTTTTAATAGAAAGGAAAACTACACACAGAGAATTTCAGAGACTCATCAAGGGTCATAAAGCAAATTAAATGTCAGAGCTAGAATTCATGATATATTTCTTTTTTCCCTGTCTAAATCCTACCTATTCTTCAAGACCTGGCTTCAGTCCTACCTACCCCAAGAAATCCTTATTTCTCTACCATCCATAGCAGCCTAATATGTACTGGGCACTGTCTTGAGCACTCTGCAGTCACTCTCTGGTTTAAACCTCAATACCCCTATGGGGGAAATATTGTTATCCCCATTTTACAGAAGAGTTTAAATAATCTGTAAGGTCATCTAGCCAGATAGTAACAGTAGGGATTAGAACTCTAGCTATTAATCCAAAGATTAGCTATTAATCTTAACCACATTACAATACTGCATCTCTTTGAATCTATATAGAGACTTAGTATGTCTACAGTTTACTATGCACTTAACCACATAAAACCATGCATTTTTTAAATTAACTTTTAATTTTAGAACAGTTTTAGATTTACAGAAAAATTAAGAAGATTATACAGAGTTCCCACATACCCTTCACCCAGTTTCCCCAATTATTATTATCTTACATTATTATGGCTCATTTATTATGATTAATGAATGCACACAGATACACTATCATTAACTAAAGTTAATGGATTACAAAAGTTAGGTGGATTACACTGATTGGTTTTCAGGCACTGAATCAGCATTGCATACCTGGAATAAATTCCATTTGGTCAGGGTATGTACTTTTTCTTATTCCTATTTAACTTTCCAGATGATTATATTCAGTTTCTCCAAGAGATTATAGACTTTTTGAGATTTAGAACCAATTCCTCTACTCTATGTAATTTACAAGTTATTGAGCATCTATTATGTACAATTTCATAAAGAAAGAAAAGTTGGGAGTACAAAGATGAACTCAGTCTCCTTGCCTAAGGTGTCTAAGGTCTTGCTAAGGTAGCAGGACATGTGGACATGTGAAATATTTATTATATTCCCCATGGTACCTTGACAAATTCTATAAATATATGTCATCTTTAAATTGGTTATTAGGACTTCAATTTGTCATCCTCCATCAGAATTCAAAAATATATCTCCTCTCATTCTCCTAGTCATCTCTCTTTCAATTACAAAAGGAATAAAATATACTGGGTATGCCTCCCATAGTGTATGGCAAACACCCTGATGTTCTCTGCTATCATATCATTTCCCCTGGAGTGTCCCCCAGCCCTCCCCTCACTCTAGTCTTATTCTGGATTCTAATTTCTACCCACAGTGCTAATCAGATGATTTCCTCATTTCTCCCCATCAAAGAGAATAGGGCTAAGGTCAGATATAACAGCTTTTACCTTTCTTTACAAATGTCACTGGATGGTTAACGCTCTAAGAACAGAAAGAGCAAAACAGTGGTGGGGTAGGAGCAAAGAGGTAAAAAAAAAAAAAAAATGATGATGACAAAATACAGTATTAGAATTCTGTAAATTTCGGGTCCTATCGAAGCTAAACTTGGGACCCAACCTATTAATCCCAGACTGGTATTTAGTCACTCTTTCACTCATTTCCATAACTCAGTGCAAGATACTGGGGATAAAACCATGAATAAAGCAAGAGCCTCTGCCCTCAAGGCGTTCACCGCAGACCTGGAAAGATGGAGTGATGGGGGAAGAATAAACACTGTTTCTGCCATCACTGATTCAGGGATACTCCATGAAGGTTGACGTTGCCACAAAAGGGCCAGGACTTCCCCACAAGGGATACATTCCTATTTTTAAGTAAAATGTGATGGTCTATCCCATAGCAGAAGAGTCAGACAACAGCAAGGGAGCTGCAAAGGGCAGAAGGCACAATAAGTATTGTGTAATAATTACAGATATTCATAGAGTTAGCTGCCTCAGGAGGTAGGGAACAACCTCACTACCTATGGAAGCATTTAAGGCTCCGAGGTCCTTGGCATTTGGTGCTTTCTTGAAAATCTCCTTGGGAACTGTAGAACTCAATAGGCAAGAAAGACAGGTCATCTCATGTACAAATCTGTCTGTCACTCCATCTGTCCTGGGACAGGTATTTGGTGACAGCTCAGTGCTGCCTCCAGGTCCTGGCTATTGGTTCCTCCCAGGCAGATGGTTGACTTCTGGCTCAGGACTGGCTCTAGGACCTTGTCTTTTTATGTGTCTGTCCATTTTGGGGCAGCTATTTGCCCAGCCCCCACCCCCAGGCCCAGGTAATACCCTAGGCCTCCAAGGAGAAGATGCTAAGCTGGGCCAGCTTCATCTCCTTTTGCAGCTTTGTGATCTCCCAAAACATTGGCTTCATATTCTTATGCAACAGGTCTTGCTGGATGTAGTAGATGAAAGTGACAAAATTGTACACTACAGTGATCCAAGCTAGAGAGAATGGTGAGGTGTAGTTGTGGCTCTCAAAGTGACAGAGCCAGATGTGGTACTGGCAGGTGTGGACACATACGTTGGCGCTGCCACACTTAACTGTGTCCACTCATACTGCGACAGCATCTGCAAAGCCATGGGCTAGGTGGTGAGCATTCGTTGTCCTCCAGACTGGCCTACAACAGCACCAAGAAGTCCTGCATTATAAAGTCCAGGCAAGGGCCCACATTCCCTGGGTACACCCTTCCAAGGAAGGAACAGGGGGGCTTGTCCATGATATGCAATTCCCTCCAGGCTTAGAATTCAGCAAAAAGGGCCATATCCATCTCCTTGTCCTCCTCATCCATGGCAACAGTATGTCCCGTAGAGGGGCTCACGACTGGGCAGAGGGAGCTGCTAGTGTTTCTGGCCCTTGTAGGGTCCAGTCTTAGCAGGGTTCAGCAGCTGCAAGTGGGGCTCATGGCTGGGAGAGGCTGGATGTGGATGTGATGACTGCTATCTTCAAGGCTGTCACCTCCACCTGCAGCCTGTCAATTCTACCCACCACTTCCTTCAGCAGCTTTTCTGATGCCAACTATTTCATGAGAGCTTCTCATATCATCTTGTGAACTTCCTCAGAAAGTCTGGACATCAGCAACACCTCTAGGTCCTGCTCCAGTGGTTCCTACACCTCCCACAGTTGCTCATGGTCCTCATCTTTCAGCTTCAGCTCCTATGGGCTATATGAGCTCCTCCATTAGGAGCTCAGAGCTCTGCCTTTCTTGCAAATCTCCATGGAGATCCTGTAGGAATACCTGTCAATAATATTAGAGAAGAGCTCCCTCCCAGGTTCCTAATACTGAGCAAGTTCCTTTACCACTCCCAGATCCTGAGATTCTGAAAGTGAAAGACACAGTGCCTTAATAATGCTCATTTTAATAAAATTCTTAAAATGCTGCCTGCCACATAGTGAGTACTCAATAAATGTTACCTACTATCATCATTGTCACCATTATTTCCTCAAGAGTGTGTATCCCCAGTGATAAATTCTGATAAATTTTCACACTAACTTTGGTGGACAGACTTGCCTGGTCATACCTGAATATGCCATGTTTCCAGATTTTCTTGCCAGTATCTACATGGGCAATTTAACAGAAACTGGTATGATAATCTTGTTACAGCGCAGCATAAAAACTGCTCACTCAGGTCATGATCCTGGAGTCCCTGGATCGAGTCCCGCATCGGGCTCCCTGCTCGACGGGGAGTCTGCTTCTCCCTCTGACCCTCCCCCCTCTCATGTACTGGCTCTCTCTCATTCTCTCTCTCTCAAATAAATAAATAAAATCTTAAAAAAAAACTGCTCACTCAGCTTCAGCCATACTAGCTTCCTCAGTATCCCTGAAAGCACATTCCTGCCTCAGGGCTTCAGGGCAGGGATTCCATCATAAACCCCATTTGAGCCACATAGAACCTAATTAATCCAGTAACTTCCAAAGAGCAGATATGAAAAAAAAGTGGCTTTAAGAAAATGTATTTTCCTTGGCATAGAATTTGCCATTTTAGATAAAGCCATAAATTTTTTACATAAACATTACAGTGCTAATATTTCAAAGGAAATCTCATTTATTCTGGCTCTAGAAGGATTTTGATTAGGTTTCCATAAGCAGGTAGAAAAACGTGGGATGTAGTCTAAATACACCTAAAGAATAAAATTTCTTGTATATAAAATGAAATAAAACTACAGAAAGAAAGTTATTCCATTCAACTATAATTTTCCAATATAAATGTGTCACAACTTACATATCTGAAAAGAGATGTACAAAAACAACTGGTATTATTGTGACACATCTAAAAG